GTGGAGGAGGAGGAGGAGGAGGAGGAGGATCGAAGGAAAGAGAAATGGGCAAGAGACAGAAACGCACGTGCGATCGCTCAATTGAAGAATCAAGAGAATCAGGGGACCCGGCGTCGGATCGGTGGCCGAGATCTCCTCTGTCACCCTCCCTTTCTCCATACCAGTCTCCTCCCCTCCTGCCTCCTCCTGCCTCCCTCTCCCTCTTCTCCCGAAGAAGCCTTTGGATCCTTCAGGACGGTCAGTTCGGCACAGGATCTCTGTTGCTCACAATTCTGCTCTTGACTCCTCGCGCGGTCTCTCATCGTCTTCTCCCTCATCATCGTCATAGGAATACGTCCCATGCCCGCTATGGGCCCTGCGCTCAGCCATCAACCTGCACAAGGTGTGAGGACATTCGCAAGCACGTTCCACGAAGGATCCAGACCGATCGATCACAGCGCGTCTGCTCTCATGGCTCTCTGCTCGCCGCGCCTCTTCATCTTCATGTGTGCGAGGAGGTCCTTTGCTGTTCTTGTCTCGTCCTGTCTCGCCATGAGCCCTGCACGGCAATCCTAGCTCCTCACCGATAGGATATTCCCTGCTCAGGAACTGTTCGCAAACTTGAATTTCAGCTTCGAACTGTTCAAGATTGCTGATGGATGACGAGTAGTCGTTTCCAACTGCCATAAAGCTTTCCAACCTGCAAAGAGAGAAAGCAAAGTGAATCCGAAAAAGGTTTCAAACCGCCGATCGCCCTTCCCATCCTCGCCCCGACTCTTCAATTCTTTTCTTTTGTACCAAGTTCAACTGCAACACGAATGGCAAGCACCAAGACTCGATAGCGCGTTTCAAAGACACTTTCATATGTTTGATAACAAGAGCATCGCCATTCTTGATCACAGCATGCTAGCCCGGCCAATCAACATTCTTTGTCCATCAAAAACCAGGTTCCCCGATACCTTGGTCTCAGCAATCTTCATGCTTGACCAGCCTCTGTGAGTTCAACTTCCATACAACAGGAGGATATATCACTCAAGAAACATCGCATGCTCTTCCTCTTACTTCAGCTCTACTCCTCTCCCTCTTCTTCTCTTTCCCCTCGCCACACCATTCGGCATTTTTGAACGTCACGGTTCTGGCCGTTATTTTCGTTTAGATAAAGAGAACTAAACTTCCAGTCTCAGACTGTCTTTTGAGTAAAGAGGCAGCGCCGGGGCGGAGCCTCCGCCCGGCCGCCTGTGACCGTACGATACTCGCCGCGGAGTCGCCGCGCCGCCGGGCCCCGGCCCCAGCACCGGGAATCATGCGATCACCGGGTTTGAAGGCCCGGGGACAGCAATTGGCCTGACGGTGACCGCATTTCGGAAGTTTCAGCCTGTGAACTGAAGTTAACTTGGGGCTTGAGTATGCCTGACTCTGTGAGTCGGCGACGGATCACCTCCTGAGGTTCCGGGCCGGCCGTAAGTTCAGGCTCGCGACTGGGCGGCCGAGACTTGGATCATCCACTCAGTGGGCCGGCGGCAGTGCGGCGGTCAGCCCGGGCCCGCGGCCCGGGGCCCGGCGTTCACACGGTTTTCTTGTTTGCCGAGCTGAGCGCTTCAACTGGAGCGGCGGGACGTGCTCAAAATGTGGTAGTAGGCGACCTTCGGATCCGCTTGCTAGGACCTGCTGATACCGTTGCTAAGGATCCTAGGGGAGGGGGTCTACCTTCGCTCGTCATATCGAGGGTCTATATTTCCTATGGCTTCCTAGGACACTCTTCGTTCTAAAATAGTTTTAAAATAGCCGCGTCGGCCTCCGAATCCGGAAGGTTCTGTGACCGCGGACCGCAGCATAGGACCTGAGGGGGGATGCGGTATAAATATCTATTTAAAAATTTATAGAATTATATTTAGGCAGAAAATAGCACAAACCCTACAGTGCAGAAACTAGGGCCTTGGGATCCTCTGGTACAATCTCACAATTTATGGTAAGAGATTTGTACCACATTACTTCTTCCCTATACAAATATATTTATTGTATTTGTATGACGAAGAAGTAATGTGGTACTATTCTCTTTCCCAGTTGAAAGAGGGGGTCGGGTAGGGAAATGTTATGACCAGTAAGGGTAGTGATCCTGTGAAGTAAAAACACCTCGGGTACTCTATACCGAAGAGGACGGGATTCGTGAGGGGTAGGGTCAAAAGTTTAGACCAGGTTTGGTAGGTAGTTGCAGTCTGTTGTGCTGTGGGGGAGATTTCAACAAGGGTAGGGTACTTGGTCGTTCAATTGTAGGGTGTATACGTAAGCCAAGCATTTTGAATTGGGGGTGGTTGTGATTTGTAGGGGGTACTAGATCCTCATAGGTACTAATTCAAGGCATTGTAACCGGTGTCTGGGACAAGGTATCTGGGGGTGGACACAAATGATGTTGGTGGGTGAGTGCCATGGGTGGGTACAGGACAGCAGTTGTTGATCTGTCTACAAAAGGTTGGTAGGGTGCGGGTTGCCAAGGGTGGCAGGAGATATGTTGTGGGGTGGGGTAGGGTTATCTCTGTATCCTCTGCCTAATACCACCCTACCATCACAACCACCCCAGCACCTGGTCCTTTACACGGATCATCAGGCGCATTGTGATTTTTCGTTTGTAAGACTTTTCGGCTACGTCAAATTCAATTGAAGAATTTGAGGCACCCATATTTTTCAATGAAAATACCCTTATCCAAGGGGGTACATATTCAAATATTTGAAAATGTTTCCGAAAGTTTCTCTGTTGGAGAGTCAAACGTACCAAGTTCAAAACATGAGCCCCTACCCCCTGTTTTAACCCACCCACCCCCCCTTTCACCTCAAAGCCCCTCTCTTCGTCGGTCTCCGGGGATGCCTCAATTCAAATGTGAACAACCCCCACCCCACCCTCAGGTCGGCCATGCGCCATCACCCACCCGAAATACTAACAAATCCCCAGCAAAAGAGGGTACCTACATGAGACCACCCCACCCTTTGACCAACGTCTCCTCGTGACTGCCGCGTCTGTCGCCTTCCTCAAGCTATCTTTCACCCGTAGCGCAGCTTTTGTTCTTTCCCGCTCGCTTGTCCTCTCACCTTACTATCAGCTTCTAGCCTTCTGTTTCAACAACACAACAACACTTGCAGCAATGTCCAGCGACTCTCGTGAGGAGAATGTTTACATGGCCAAGCTCGCCGAGCAGGCCGAGCGCTACGACGAGGTATGGCTCGATTTTCAATTGTTCATGAACTTTCTATGATTGGATTGTATATTTCTTTGTTTCTTTGATGCTTTGTTGTTTGTTTATTGGCCAATTGTTTTTGACATGAAAATGAACACATGGACGTGTTCTTTGTGGTTAAATGGATGCGTGTTGCAGTGGTGTAGCTGTAAGGTGTAAAATATGATGTCTGGTTCGTTTTGATGCTTCCCTTGATGCATCCGAAGCATCTTTGCAATGTCTCACTTCCAAATCAGATGGTCGAGGCCATGAAGTCTATCGCCAAGATGGATGTTGAGCTCACCAACGATGAGCGCAACCTTCTCTCCGTTGCCTACAAGAACGTGATTGGTGCCCGTCGTGCTTCTTCTCGCATCATTTCCTCCATCGAGCAGAAGGAAGAGAACAAGGGCAACGAGCACCGTGTCTCCATGATCAAGGAGTACCGCCACAAGGTTGAGTCTGAGCTCTCCAACATCTGCAATGACATCCTCAACATCCTCGACAAGCACCTCATCTCCTCTGCTACCACTGGCGAGAGCAAGGTGTTCTACTACAAGATGAAGGGTGACTACTGGAGATACTTGGCGGAGTTTGCTGTTGGCGCTGGTCGCAAGGAGGCTGCTGAGCATTCCTTGGTTGCCTACAAGAACGCCCAGGACATCGCTCTCACCGATCTTCCCCCCACCAACCCCATCCGATTGGGCCTGGCTTTGAACTTCTCTGTGTTCTACTATGAGATCCTCAACTCACCGGACCGCGCATGCCAGCTCGCCAAGCAGGCCTTCGATGATGCCATCGCTGAGCTTGACACTCTCAACGAGGAGAGCTACAAGGACAGCACCCTCATCATGCAGCTCTTGAGAGATAACCTCACCTTGTGGACATCCGACACCCAGGAGGATGCTTACGACAAGGACGCTGGTGACGAGGAGGGCGGTCAGGTACCATAAATCCATACGTGGATGACAAAGTCTGACTCTGTACAGGATTAAATTGTAGTTAGCTCATGAACGATTCTGGGATTGCTGAATGTTGATTCTTGAATGTTAAAGACATCAACCTTGTGTTTGGGTATTTTGTTTCGCATTTCAGTTGTTATTGCACTATAAGAAACTGATTTACATATCTCGGTTGAACTTCTAAATAAATGAAAACCAAAACATCAGTTACTTGCCGTGCAGTCTCGCCCACTCGCGGGAGCTGGTAAAACATATTCAGAGAATAACCTCCCTGCCAAGGGTACTCACGCTTGCTGAAAGTCGACTTGTCCATCATGAAACCTGCGCTCTTCTCACCATTCATCCACACAGAAAATCTCTTTACGTGATGAAGGGTCCGAAGTCGCCCGTGTACTGGTTGTGGAACCCGACGAAGATGGCGTAACTGAGAGGGGACGTCAGATGCAGGAGCCGCACATCTCACTGTTCTCACAGGATGATGCTGATCTTGAAGCCGAAGAAGAGGAGAAGGCTTGGCTCGTTCCACACGTTCACCCCGGGCTAGAGCCATGGTCATTCGCTTTCATCGTGTCGACCTGTCAACCTTGATGGGGTTCATCATGAGCATAAGGCCTGACTTCCCGCCAGGATACGCATTCTTCTTCTGCCCCTCCGGCACAGGCATGAGGCTGATCCCTCAGTCATTAACCTCCTCCTCCTCCTCCTCCTCCTCCTCCTCTCCACACCGTCCAAGTCTTGGCCCTGACGACAGAGGAGCGTCTGCTACCTGTTTCGGTTCTTCCCAAGTGGACTCGCCTGTCTTGGTGTTGTACCAGTACCTGACCATGGGGATCAGAAAACGCTGCCGGCTTCATCATGCTAGCACGTTGCGCCCGTGCTGCTGTCTGTGGCAGTCTGCCATTCGTTGGTGCTCATCGACTGTCGCAGCGCGACACGGGAAATGCCAACCGGGCGAGCAGTCGACGGCATGAGGCTGACGGGGGAGGACATGAAGGCCTTAGAATAACATCAGCGAGCAACAAGTCTCTAGCTGCTGCTAGCGAGAACCACACACAGCAAAACAACACCAGGGGAAAGTGCTGGGTATGTTTGTAAGAGGCACAAGAGCGATATGCTTCGTGACATGTAGGAGGAAGCAAAAGCAGAAGGGATTGGACGGCAGCATGCTGGCATCAGCGAAGACTCTCCTCTTGTGTTCCGAATGTCTCTCACCATTGTCACTCCCGCCTGCACAACCAGCGCCAAGAGCCCGAGACAGGAGCGCATTGTCGCTTCTTTAGGACACTACCCCCACCCCTCCCCAGACCAATTGAGTACCCCAACCCATAGAGGCCTTCGCCTTGCAAAGTGCCACTGGGCTAGCGAGAGAGAACTGAAACGAAGCAAAGAAAGCAAGATGAAGAGAAGGAGATCAAGAGAGGGGGAGGGAGAGGGAGAGGAAGGGACTGAGGAGAAAGTGAGGATGACAACGATACCAACGACGACACAGATACGATATTGATCACGACTGAGTGGTACGGTAGGTGAGGACGGAGAAAAACAAAGGAAGAGGTCAATGATGTAGGAGTAGAACAAGAGAGGTAACAGGAGCAGGATGATCGGATGTGAAGATTTGCTGCATTTACGTGTGTGGACGCGCTGCTTGCGTTAGCTAAAGTGCAATCGTTGTGAATCAGAATCCGAAGGAGAAGGAGGAGGTGGAGGTGGCTGTGGAGGACCGTCAGTGGAGCGAGAGAGAGGAAGCGAGGGAGGGGGCAGAAGCTGCTGGAAGGGGAGGGGATGAGAGGGGGGTGAGAAGGAAGGTAAAGGGCGAGAGAAAGGGAGGGTGAGGGGGTGAGCGAGGGGTAGGGGGTAGGGGGCATGGGGGGAGGGATCAACACTCACAAGACTCCACCAAGTTTGTCCATAGAGAAGCCTTGCTGTCCTCCCTGAGGAAATCGTCATCGGAGGAGCGGAGAGGAGGAGAAAGGACGAGGACGGGGAGAAGGGAGGGAGGAGCTGTAGGAGGAGCGAGGCGGAAGAAGATAAGGAGGAGCAAGGAGTGACAGGGCAGGGAGCACAGGGAGGAGAAAGGCGGGAAGGATAGGGAGGTGAAGGGAAGGGAGAAGAGAATGGAAAGAACAATGCAGAGGGGAAAAGACCGGGCGGGGAAGGGGGACGGGAGGGAGGAGGAGGAGGC